GATGATGATGATGATGATGATGATGATGATGATGATGATTTTAGTTGTATGACAAGAAACTATAACCTAGAACCTTATTATAAGGCAAGTTCATTTTCACAGAAATAATAGTGCCTTTTCAAATTCAAAGGATTTCTCTAATCATGAGGAGGAGATTTTACATACAGTTTTAAATATAAAAGACATACTCCCTGGAGTGTGCACAGCTGCATGAAATTGAAAACATTCTTCACTAGGGGTCCTGAATCTCTAGGGGTAGTAAAAGTTATTTGACATGCAACTGGTGATGATCCAGTGTTTTCAAATCCTTTTTAATGTCTATTAAAATGCTTCAGGTGATATGGCTATGAAAGACCTTACATTTCTTTATGAATTGTGCATGAGACAAGTATATAGATATGAGAATGGTGGTAGAGATGCTATGGAATAATATAGGTTTTGTATTTTTAAAGAACAATCTTAACTTATATTTCATGTTTCAACACCTGGGAGAAAATATAGCTATCCTTCAAATTATCCCCTTTTATGTTTTCGGGGTTTAGCTGTTAGGCTAAAAAACCAATATGTATAAAAAGGCACACATTAGAGCAGGGATGGGATTCAAATTTCTTAACAATCGGCTATGTGGGTGTGGCCTGGTGGCCATGTGACTGGGTGGACATGGCTTGCTGACTGGGCATGGCTTGGTGGTCATGTCACTGGGTGGGCATGGCTTGTATGTAAACATTATAACTATGTAAATATTGATATATTTTTTATTAAAAAAGAGCAACTTTTACCCAAAAGCAGGCAAAGCAGGCAGGCAGATTGAGTTGCTCACAGAATCGGAGATTCACTTAGAGATCTATCTATCTGCAATCGGCTATCTGAGTCTGTCACATAAAATTTGCTTGCAAGCAAACTCATAAAATTTGCTAGCAAGAAAACTCACAAAATTAACTCATAACACACCATGTATGTAAATATTGATTTTTTTTTTTATTAAAAAAGTGCAACTTTTACCCCAAAGCAGGCAGGCAGATTTTTTTTAAAATAAAAGTTTTATTTAAGTTTTCACACACCATACAAATAAAATATCTTTTTTGAGAACAGCGTGGCCCTGGGTTATCACTTTTCCATACAGACATTCTCAATACATATTTATTTTATACATTCTAATTCGTATCTTATAACTATTTTCACAATTTTTTCACTAGCTTTTCCCTTTCTTTACTTCCTATAGCCTTATTTTAAATTATCTCATTCCTTTCTTAATTCAATTACATATCTTTTTTCTAATTTTAAAAATCTTTCTAATCAATGTTTTTATACTTTTGTCTGTCCTGTTTACAATTTCATATTATCTTTTCTCATAAAACAAATTTTCCCTTGTAATTACTAGACTGGAGTTTAACACCTTTGTATCTTTTTTCAAATCTTATTTAAAAATTTAAGTTACATCTTTATAGTTATAACATTCATTTTCTAAACTCTATTTTATAACACATACCTATTTTCAATCGAATTCTGCTTGGTACGTT